AATCAAAGTCCCACTCTTATTAATAGGTGGGAATGAAATTAATCTGAGTCACAACATATTATCCATTATGCCTGGAGGAGATTCCAAATACCCATGTACATAATAGAATTTACCACTTTCTTCCTTCATCCCTACTTTATTCTAAGTCTTTATGACAAGGCTTTTCCCTTGGTATTTTGAATGTATTTTTATTTATCAAGTCCCTGGGCCCATTTGGCTAAAGCCCACATACCAATCCCCATTCCCATGCCTAACTCAGTCAGGTCTCAGGGGCTGGGTCCCTCATGTACCGCTGGTACCAGCTGGGGTCCAATCAATAAAAATCTCTACAATATTATCCTACTAACTACAAGTACCAATGAGGCCCAAAGTCTCCTGTTGCCAGGCCTTGTCCATCTATGCATATCCTTATATGTAAAAAAAAAATAGCCTAGAGTTAGCCTAATTTTGCCAGAACCCCTAGAAAATATTATTTGAATTACTGTAGCTCACAATAAGGTCAACCCTCAAAGCTAATAATCTCCACTAAGGCTCGCTAGTTCTACGATTCTTGTTGCTTACTATTAGTGTTTAACCTGGATCCAATTGTGTCCAGCTGATAGGACTCAAGACATTACTGATAACATAGATATTTGAAAATACTTGATGCAATATAAATTATCTGTCAAATGTTCTGAGACCAATACTAGTACAAATGACTATGCATTAAGAGAAGATAGATATTTCACTAAATTGAAAATTAGCTATAGAGGAGATTCCTCAATTTAGTTAAAAGTTTAACTAGATGGTCTCTAGGGTCCTATGAAACAAAATTCTATGATTCTATGAAAATCCTTCCATTTAAAATTCCAAATATTTTGTTTGTGTAGAATAATAAACTAAAAGATCCCAGAAAAGGAGGATACTGAAGAAATGGAAGTTTTCTACAATTTTATTCAAATTTATGAACATGAATCGGCCAAAAAATGGACAAAGAAGAAAGAATGAACGATAGGCTGATTGGTAAGGCAAATCCTTGATCAAACAAATGCTAATTATAACATTTTTAATTCATCCTAAGAAGAATTTAACACTTTCAGTTCCCAGTTTGAGATAGAAGACATATTTCCTTCTTAGGTCAATTTTGAAAAACTATATTTTTTGAAGAATTTGTTAGTTGCATCTAAGTTTTCAAACTTATTGGCATAAAGTTATTAACAGTATTTTCTTATATATTTAGTCTCCTCTGAATCTAAAAGTTATATTCTATTTTTTAACACTTTTGTAACTTGCTTTTATTTTATTTTTGTTTAAAACATTTTTTATTGATACATATTGATTGTACGTGTTTATGGGGTATAGAGTTATATTTCAATACATGTATACAATGTGTGATGCTCTGTTCAGGGTAATTAGCTTATTCATTGCCAAAATTAATCATTTCTTTGTGATGTGTACATTTTATCACCTCTTTTCTAGCCATTTGGTTATATGCAGTAAATCATTATTGATTATAGATTTCTGGGCCAACTGTACATGAATAGGGCATATTTTTCCTATATTGCTGTACTTTTGTGTCCATTGACCAGCTTCTCACCGTCCCCTCTTTCCCCTCCCCTCTTTCCTGCCTCTAGTAACCATAGTTCTTCTCTTTCCTTCTAACTAATCATTATTATTATTGTTTTTGTTGTTGTTATTTGTTTTGTTTTTGGCTTGTTTGTTTTGTTTTTCAGCAGCCACATATGAGTGAGAACATGTGGTATATCACTTTCTGTGCCTGGCTTATTTCATTTAAAATTTTCTCCACGTTCATCCATGTTGCTATGAATGGCAGAATTTCATTCTTTTTTATGGCTGAGTAGCAGTTTAATAAAAAACTGGTGAAATCTGAATAACATCTGGAGTTAAATTAATACTAATGTACCAATGTTGGTTTCTTAATTTTAACAAACATACCACAGTAATGTAAGATGGCAAATTAGGGGAAACTAAAACTGGGTGAGAGATATATGGGAACTCTCTGTACTGTACCATCTTTGAAACTTTTCTGTAATCTAAAACTATTCCAATATAAAAAGTTCATTTTTAAAAAATCAAGGTAAAAATAGTTTCCATTCAGATCTATAAGACAGTAATTGAGAAGTTTAAGTATACCAATGATTATAACATAAAAAGTAAAATGAATATTGCTTGGGCCAGAGGGCCTGCAAATGAGCAAATCAAAATAATTAAACAAACAGCAACTGCTTTCCCATAAAACATACCCATAAATATAGTGCAGTGGTAGATAATAACTATTTATACATAAAAACTTGTTGGCAAATAATGCCAAATGTTGATTTCTTTATTTATCTTTTTTATACCACAAAAGGCCATGGGGAAAGGAAAGAAAGAGAGGATGGGTGGCAGTCAATATTTAATTATGCTCTATGTGTTTATTTTTAGTTAACTTAAGAAAATAAATGATAAAAAAAAATCAAATATTTGGGTTTATACTACGGTTGTTTCCAAACACATAAAAATAGTTTCAGCTATCTCTTCAACAATATAATGAATAAACTAAAACTGAATATATCTGGTAGGGAACAAACGGTAAAAGAGTTCCCCATTTTATAAGCTTAAGGATCTTTTCCAATTCTAGACTGAAGATGAGTGTCAGACTTCCACATCTAAATAGGATAGAATCAATTTTGGCAGACCAATGCTCTAGGCAAGAACAAGAAAAGTCAGATTAAACACAAAAATCATGTGTTTAACGGCATCACACGGCTGTTGCTGCAATAATGACTTGAGTATCTAAGATTCTGAAGAGTTTTTAACCGGGGAGAGGTGATTAGAAGATCTGCAGTTATTTTTTTCCCCTGAGAGTTTTACATACTCCAGGTACAGGGAAAGGACCAAGAAATCAGGCTTTGACAAGGCAGAGAGCTCCTGCTGGAAGATGGAGAAAGCACCCAAGCTTTTGGCAATTATGTAGGGCTGACAAAACTGGAGATTTGAGACTTGTTTCTATCCCAAGTCATTTGTCAAATTCCAAACCTGTGCAGGGCTTGAAGTTTAAAAAGCTAATCCCAAAACCTCTTAGAAGAATAGAGGAGTTTTCCACAGTCTTACAATGCTGAGGAGACAAATGCTAGAATACAGGATCTGCCAGCAATAGGGCCCTTGTGAATACTCAGATCTCCGTATAGGAGGCCTTACACAAGTCTATGGGTGAACCACAATTAGACAAAGACTTACCAAAACTTCCACCCGGCCTCCACGGGAGATAGTAATGCATTATGGGTAGTAATAGACATGGACTAATACGAAACAGTTTATGAAGAAGGAGAAAAAAGAAACAACTGGTTAAGTGAAAACCTTGAGCAGGCCGGAAAACATGTGAACTAGTACAGAGTAGAGAGGATGTCTTTAAACAGAAGCATGTGGTATAAAAGAAGCAAAGTGGAAAAGGCAGAGTATATGGGTGCAAATGCAGGTAGGCTGGTGGATGAAAATGCCTGGGAACATGCAGAAGTTCCCTTTTGGTTGGGGAGGAGAGGATGTATATCTAAGGAGAAGGCAGAAGAGATAAAATAGTACCCTAGAGGGGAGGGTGAAAGGACTAACAAAAGGCAAGATTACCCAGCAACTCTAAGGGTTTACTTGAAGACAGCAGTCATGAATTTAAGTTCAGTCTGAAAATTTGTGTGATTTTCTCCTGCCATGAAAAGCTGTGAAGTTACAGAACAGACAGATGAATTTAACTAGGCTTTGGTTTTGCCAGGTAAGTAGGACAAAGGAAGAGAGGGTCAAGAGAACTGAGGTTATATTATATGCAAATTGGTGATAACTATGGTGGGCCATGGAATCTAAGCTAAGTAAGGAGGAATGTGAGAACACAAGGACTTTGACAGAGAAGAATTGGTAAGAATAATAGAAATAGGTGTAGTGGTGTTAAAAAATTGCTAGAGTCAAAGATCTAGAGTAAGTGAGCTAGAAAGACAGTAGGTGGTAGGAATCTAAGCTAAGTAAGGAGGAATGTGAGAACACAAGGACTTTGACAGAGAAGAATTGGTAAGAATAATAGAAATAGGTGTAGTGGAGTTAAAAAATTGCTAGAGTCAAAGATCTAGAGTAAGTGAGCTAGAAAGACAGTAGGTGGTAGTCAGAAAGTGGGATGCTTAAAATTGAGACTGATAATAACCAAGGATAGGATATAATCATGGCAATAGCAGTGTGTAGCACATGATGACAGGAGAAGAGAAATTAGAAAATGAGAGGCTGAGATATTGAAAGGTTCATCTACCTAGATGTTTAAATTATCAAAAATTATGACAGGAGTGGGCTGAGGAAAGAGACAGTGAAATAGATCCTAAAATCTTTATGAAATGAAGTGACATAGGAGTGTGTACAAGACTGCAAGAAGATATGTACTGGGTAGTATAGTCTGATGCACGAGCTTCAAAGCTAGAGGTCTTTAGGGAGGAAAAACAACACCAATCTGAAAACATTAATGATAAATAAGCCTCCAAGTCCAGTGAGTTACACTGGTGTGGCAAAGAACACAGCCACTACTTGAGAGGACTGCAGTAGAAACAGTAGCCTTAGGGAGGTCATCAGGTTTTAGTAAGAGCAGAAAGGTGTAAATAATGATCAGAAAAAAACACACTAATAATTTGATCTATTTATTAACATTTACTAAAAGATACTGCATTGGTAATAAAACAATAATAAAGACATAGTCTCAGCCCTCATAAAACTGCAACTCAAGAAGTCTCATATAAAAATGATTAAAGAATATAACTAAATTTATTTTAAGAAATTTACATTAAATTTTATAGAGAAATGAGTATGCATATTTTGGACAGTAGAATAACAAAATACAAAATTATTTTAATATATCTAATCATTTTGGTATTTATTATATGCTAAAAACTAATGTAAATTAAGAATTTGGGGGCAAAAGTCACTATTTCATAGTAAAAATAAAATAGGGGGAAATGGTATGTATATGTTTTTACAGATACATGCATAGTTACCTGAGACAAAGCAGCATCCCGTTCTTCTATCACTGAATTCATTTCTTCTGCAGTTATTCTTTTTTTACATTCCTTGGTCTTGTAGATTCTATCCACAATTATAGCTCCATTCTTCTGAATAGCTATCCCTGTGTCTGCATTGTTTATTCTGTTCAGTAATTCCTGTAATGTCTACCAACACCATTATATGTTAGTCAGACATGAAGTTTTAATATATTTTATTTAATATAGGGTTTTAATTAATAGGCACATGTGAATTGTAAATTGACTGAGTGAAGTTATTGAATTTTCATATTGCAGCAAAGATGTACATTATTAGTGTGTCAATTCTTCTTTTTCCCACATCTTAGTTCTTGAAACCCACTCAATTGAACTTAAGCCTCTAAGATATAAGACTGACATCAAGATATCTCCTCAGAGAATGGCTTACCATGTCATTTTCTTCAGGGTTAATATTTTCTAGCCTAGAAAAAAGGGACACAGAAAGCCTGATCAGTAGCATTTCCTTAGTGCAGCAAAATGAGTTCGCTTTTTAAATCTTTAGAACCTCAAGTAATTTCATTCGACTAGTCTTTAGAGTCAACCATGACACTGAACATATTAAAGTGCCACCTGCTCGACTCCATCTTTCAATAATGCTCCATATCTTCTGCACTGACTTCAGACTGTTAAGTTATTAATGTTTACTGCTATATATGACTACAAGGATCAATTGTTCATATGTGCTTAGATGAAGAAAGTTCCCCAGTGATAGAAGCACTCATTCTCATCATTATATTTATTCCTGGACTTTCAATTCTTATCAGAAACTGTATTTCCTCTTTTTTTTTTTTTTTTGGATGCCATCACAAATTTAAAAAGGCAAGAATTTTTATTACAAATTTAACTATACTTACTCCAAAGCAATGACAAATAATTACACTAAATTTGACATGAAAATCTCTTGCTGCTACTTATTTGATAAAACACTATACTATATAGAAAGTTTGGCCAAAATTGGACCACACTTTTAGATGACTAATGTTATTTTCTCTTTTTCATAATATAGAATTATTCAATTTTTTATTCAATTTAAAGACAAAGTAAATTGGTTCCCCTCATAAATGCATTTTGTCTTATAAGAGTCACAGTGTCTACTGAAATGTTTGCTGATGTTGATGAATTGAATAAAATGTAGTAAAGATAAAGAAAGAAGTTCTAAGCAACATGTCTTAAAGAATGTCAACAATATAATTAGGCAATCATTAAATTGGGTAAATTAAAAGAAAATCTGTATTGGGTATTAGTGAAATAATACAGATTCTAGAAACAATCTCAATTATTTTATAATTGTATCAAAAAGTTTATATATCCAAGTTCCTGTTTTCTCAAGTCGCCCCCCCCATTTCTGTGTTTCTCTAATTTAATATTTACTACAAAAAAGGATACTAGGAAATGATAATAGAAGACACTCAATAAATATGTTACAAAATTATTCCAAACTCCACAATTGGATGAAATTGCTACACTCATGGAGAAAGTAGTAACTTTAGAACATAGAATTTTAACAGAAAAAGTATATAAATACATATCAAAAAGCAAATTCTACAAATAAGTAGTATAAGTTAAGAGGAAGACATAGTAGTTTTGAATTATATGTAACAATGCATCTCAAATTACTAATGTCCGCTTGGATTCATATTTCAAGAAGGGCAACTACTCTCATCTTTTATCTTTTTTTCCAAAATTAATCAACAGTTTTCAAAGATGCTGATTAACAAAGGTGTGTTCTATGAGAACTGTGACGATAACCACTTCTTTTATACTCAATTGAAAAATATCAGAAAAGTATAAGAAAAAGAAATTCTACTTATTTAAGGTCACAATGAAAGTATTTAAAGAATACCAGTAGCATTTATCCATCAGTTATTGGTTGGCTAAATATGATTTTTAAGGAAACCATATGTGGTGAGTAATATCTATCTTAATTTCATACTTTTTAGATGAAATTAGACTAAAAGCTTATTATGGCAATTTCCCAATAAAATCCAATTTACATGTTTATAAATTTCACAATTTATGATAATTTGAAATGCAAGCAGTTACATGATAATTAAGCATTTAGATTGGTAGACTTCTGGGAACATTTGCAAAAAAAAAGAAATTTAGTTATCAAGGTTATAAATCTCCATTTTTACTTTCCAAGAATTATATATGACCAGAAAGAAAATAATAGAGTAAGTAGGTTACTTAATGTGTATATTTCCAAATAATCAGCACAACAAAAAGTATATAAAATTTCTATTTAAGGGCTGAGCCCGTAGCGCACTCGGGAGAGTGCGGCGCTGGGAGCGCAGCGACGCTCCCACCGTGGGTTCAGATCCTATGTGGGAGTGGCCAGTGCACTCACTGGTGTGGGCGACACCACGCCGGCCCCTTACTGGTCACGAAAAAGGCAGAAAAAGGCAAAAAAAAAAAAAATTCTATTTAATACTTGTAAGTTGTCTTCAGGCATTGCAATGTGAAGAATTATTACTTTAAGGAGCAGAAGATGAAGAGTTCCAATGTTTTAAATCAACACCTTTCAACAGGAAAGAGTTAAGATAATTGTATTTAGTATAATATCAAAATTGCCGGCTAACGATTAAAATTAAAAATCAAATTTTCTTATCAAGGACTATACTAGATCCTTGACACATGAATTTTACATTCAGACTTTAGATAATTTGTGTAATTGTCCCTAAAAGTACATAATACACAGTGATTTGTCATTTTGCTGATAAATGAATTTAAGCTATGTTTTTGGTGAGGCCAGTTTGCTAGGTTTGACATGCAGGATATGAGTGAGCCAAGTCAACTACTCAGCATTTGGATCTCAGTCTTGCTTTATTATAATTCTTTATAACTGATATACATATAGTGATAAATGGCCAACAAGAGAAAAATATAACTGTGATCAAAATGGAAAAATGGTTTATCTGAGATTGGTAAATTTGTATAGACATATACAATAACTTTCACGACAAACATGAATCTGGAAAGAGAAAAGCTGATACTTATATTTCTCTATTTGTATTTCTTTAGAAGTATTATTTGTCACAGATATCAAAAGATCAATTACATCATATAGAGCAGGGATTAGCAAACTTCTTCTGTAAAAAACCATATAGTAAATATTTTAGGCTTTGCCATATGTTCTCTGCCATAGCTACTAAACTCTGCCTTTCTAGGGCAAAAGCATCCATATACAATATGTAAATAAACAGGTTGTGTTCCAATAAAACTTTATTTACAGAAACAGGTGGAGGCTGGATTTGCACCATAGGTTCTTAATTTGACAATCCCTGATACAGAGTACTGGAAAATGAGACCAGATCTTTGATATTAATTCACCAAGTGCCAATTCAGTATGTTTGACATAATTTTCTGAGCCAGACCATTCAATATATACTTAAAGAATCAACAAAAGTGATTTTCAGAAAATTAAATTCAGACCTACAATAAGTACATCACTTACTGTATCACTTAAGTTTACTTAAGTGCATGTACAACACATAACACTTTACTGATTTAAATAAAGACTTAAAATAATAATTGATGTTATATGAAATATAACTGATAATAAATTATATCTCATTAGTATGAGGTTTACAATTAGACAAAAGAATCTCAACCTTTTGTAAACTCTAAATTATGCCTACAACAGTCTAACGTGACGTAGTCATGATAATTAGTAAGAATTTTGCTGAAGTAAATGTCCATGGGCTCAAAGTTTCAATTGATTTCCTATACCATGCAAATTCTGACTGACAATCTTGGGCTCTAAATGAAAAGACCCATGCATGAAATGTCACATTTCTTGATTTATCCCTAAATCAGTCAATTCCAACCTTTTCTTTTCTGAAAGAAACTACAGTCATTCACCGTGTTCAATGGTAAGAAGCAAAATGTTGACCTCAAATAATAAAAAAGAACTAGTGATCAGCTAATCAAAAAATTCTAAACTGTTCGCTTTTATTTTCTAATTCTCATTTTTGAGACAGCACCACACTTAATATGTTAAAAAATATTAATTATAACAAAGAGACTAAAAAAAGATATGATCTCAAAAGTTAGAATATACATATGCAAACATTTGTGCATTAGTATGTGTATGTAAGTTATTTTAACTTGAATCTTTTTCACTTTTTTTCCAGTTTTGGATAAAAGCCAAAAAAACAAAAAAAGCATTGAAGATTCAAGGTGTAAGAGAAAGCAGAGAAGTGGCAGAATAAGACAGGAGAGACACTAAAACAGAGACACGAAATAGATTGAAACTGACAAAGGAGGTGAGAGAAAAAAAGAAGGCAGAAGAAATCTGAAGATCATAGAAAGCAAGAAACAGAAAGTTAAAAGAAAAGAGATGTGAAATCATTTATATCATTTCATCCTATAGAATGCCTCCAAATATGCCTCTCAGTAAAGCAAAACTTAGTTATGAATTGGTTCTATCTCATTAAGGATTTAGTCTAAAACACACTCTTGAGGGTTTAGAACCTCAGCTAAGGAGAAAGGAACCTTTGAAACTATGCTGCACCATTTGAAATTATGCTGACATCCTATTTTCTTTGTGGTTACTGTTCTTGCTTGGATTGTACGGCCTTTCCTCACCCACACACCCGCTCCTGCACCCCTCAACTATGATGCAGTAGGAGCCCCTCTTATAAACTCTTTCTAGGAAACAAAAATTTTTCAGATCAATTAACACTGTTTTAAATATCTTCGTAATTATTTACTTAATGTTCCTAAATTTGAGACCATAATGCTGTGTCCTGAGCAACTAGCACTGTACTTGACACATAGTATATGTTCAATAAATATTTAGTGAATGGATCAACTAATTAAAAGACTTGGAATTGTGTCTTTTCCTTTTCTCTCATTCCCATTCCTGCCTTAATATGAATAATACACAAGACAAACTGAAAAAGACTCTGCCTCAAGGAACACTAATTTCAGTTTACTGTAATAAAAAAATAACAAATATATTTACGAATTAAAGCAGATGCACAATGAACAGTAAAAACATTAGGAAGAAGGAAAGTCTCAATTTAGATATATCAGTTAAAGAGAGAGAATGAACAAAACTAAGAGACCAATGTAATAGGGGTTCTGAGTAAGAACTCTTGGCTTAGATTTGTGGACAGACGGTTATGCTACTGATCACGATAGGGGATTAAGGAGGGGAATCAGGTTTTAAGAATGAAATATTTCATTTTGGATATGCTAAGTTTGACTTGCATGTGTAAATCTGAGGTAGACAATTCCGACAACTTACAATTGATTGATTATGAGTCTTTGGCCCAGTAGTCAAGCTCTCCAACCTTTTTCATCTATAAAGCACTAATACCACCTACCTCAGAAGAGTTGTTACACTAAATGAAAAACTGATTTGTTATCTTTTGGGGTTAAATTTGATTTTTTTTAAAGCAGCAAAATATATTTAAAA